CGTAATTCTATTGCATACAATACCAAACCAAAAAATGATTATATAGTGGTATAGGTTAAAGACAAGATATATATATTAATTAGTGAGTAGATGTTAAACGACGAATTAGATTTAACATTTTTTAAGTTTACAAAATATAATCTATTAACTTTTTTTAATAATAATCTATTAATAATAATCATAAGCAATACTTTATTAGAATCTCTCTTAAGAGAAATGCACTACGCACAATCAAATAATCAAACTTACATATTACTGTATTAAGTTTGGACTTGGCATTTGTACACATCTCCACCGTGATATTTTACTCTTCGACGGATGTTTTTAGTTACGTACGTACGTACGTACGTACTTACACAATGCGCCAAAACCAAAATTCAATATGCCTAAATTAATTTTTAACACAGAAATGAAGAGCAGTATTCGTACGTACGTAGTAGTATTCGTGAGATGGAAAGATGCAGTATTTCCAGTATTGATTTGTCTTGATCAGTACCTTTCTTATTTGGTACTAAACTAATCTCTACGTAATAGTTGTAATCTCTATAGTTGTTTAGTTTGATACATCATTGTGAGGAATTCAAGCGCCGTAATATGCTATTGTTTTGTCTTTATTATATGCATAAATTATAAACTGGTTAAGTCTTTTTGAATATAGTAAGATCAAAATTGTTAATACGATATATCGATATAGATATAAATTTGTGTTACTTCAATACACTTCAATACATATACGTAGACTCAAAATTAACATTAATTAAAAAGACTTGAATTTTACAATCAGAATTTCGTTTGTTAAAAATTGTAAAAGAAAGTGCATACATGCCAAATACGTACGTACGTACGTATCAATGTATTAATGCTAAATTTTAGTTTTCAAATAAAATATTACAAATTTATCGTTATCAGTAAATATATAATAATTAAACGTATCGGTATGCTTTAGGAAAATCCTTTTTTTTATTGTTCTATATAAGGAAGAAGTGGTTCATTTGTTTTCGTGGAGTTATTGAGCATATATACTGTATGCTAATAATAGTTTTACATGAAAGAATAAATGCTAGCTATGTAATTAATTGAATGGAAAAAAAATATGGAAAACAATTTAAAACGAAGATTACGTAATCTTTACATTTCTTTGTAGTTCAGGTAACGTGTTTGATACTGCTGCATGCATATACCATTACAAACGCATTACAAACGGGTTTGTTAAAAAATTTTTAAACTCAGTTTTTGATTAAATGTCGAGTAGGTGTAAAGTAAATCAATAACGATAACTTTATCATTAAGGATATATGATTTATTATATTCATAAAGAATGAATACGTATCGATATTGAGATGGTTTTTTACAGAATTTCTGTTGGAAATGTATCGGTATGCTTATTTTGTTTCACAAAAAATGAAATGGACGAAAAACTTCTATGCAAAGAATCAAAAGAATCAGGAATTATCCCATGATGGTAATTCACTTATATATAAATTGAAAGTTATAAAAATAGTTCATCTGACGTATAAAGTAAATCTTATTCAACTAATTTTTAAGGTTTTGCTAACCATTGTGTCGAGATTGTTAATCATGACTGAATCCGTGAGAAATATCCTTGACTTTCATGAAGACACGCATTGCATTTTTTTGATAAAATTAGAGTGCGCTAACTTTTTCTTCCTATGACGAAAATCGTACCATTATTTAATTATTTAAAAAAAATAATTTGTACTTTGTTCAAGAACTTATCAAAGAGTAGATTAATTGATCTATGAATTTATTAATTTAATTTATTACCACGAAGCATAAAAAACAATTCATAAAATTATTAATTGTAATACACTAAAATAGCCAAATAATACAATAATACGGATAATAGATTTTCTATCTTACAATCGGTGCGGATTATCAATCAAATAGCGAGGTAGTGTACATAAGTACATAGCATTTACAAAATAAAGCATACAATCAAATAATACCTTTTTATGGTAATTTATTATGGTCTAATTTTTAATTTAAAAATACATTAAAATAATAATTATCGTAATCATTATATGAATATTTATATCGACATCAATACGTATGAATATATTATATATATATATATTATATATATTATATATATATATATATATATTTATGAATACCTGATATGTACGTATATAGAAACTTGTACGATACCTTAATCATAAGTTACGAAAAGGAAATTTTCGAGCGAATATTATTAGCTCAGAAATCTGCGTGAAACCTTTTAAATCGATCTATATATTTTTTTAGCTATGATCTACTACGTGACACGACTTAAAATACGATCGTGATCCTCCATATTTTTTTTTCCTTAGTTCCTCTCTTGTTTTTCATAAAAGAGTGATAATTTTTCCTGCAGGTACCAAAAGTTTGCTCACTTTCGTTTTAGCTACTATCACTCTCATGCACCTTTACTACTTAATATACAAAGAAAACCTTTCTCTGTAAAAAAAAAATAATGACAAATTCAACTAAACTTAATTCCCTTGTCTGTTGTTCTCGATATTTTAAACGACCAGAGGTATATAAAGCTTTCTAATTCTTTTACTAATGTTCTTATTTCATATTTTATTTATATTTATCTTTTTTTTCTAGAAAAATTCGGTGAAAAATGAAAAGACTGCATTAAATAATTCTCAACTTGATATAAACGAGGAACTAGAACAAAAAAAACTTTATGGTGTATGCAAAACTTGCGGTACGTCTCTCTCCAACAAAGCTTGGTGTAAAACCTGCGAAGGTCAAAAATTACAAAAATGTTTTGGCGAATGGACAAGTGGTAACGAGTATATCGATAAATTTATTCGAAACACTCAGACTAAACCACTAAATAAAGAATGTTATCTGTCTTGGATTCCTTTTGTGAATTTGTCTCATCTGAAATATATGGCCACCGGTGGTTTTACGGCTGTGTATCATGCTCTTTGGGACAATTTAGATAACAATTACCTAATTGATGTTGTTCTAAAGAGGTTACATAATGGTTGTACCTCTGATCCCGATTTCTTAAAAGAGCAGGTTTTTATTATTTTTATTATTCTCTTTATTATTTTTTATTTGTTAAAATTTTTATTTTATAATAATAAATAAATAAATAAATATATATATATATCTCTCTTTTTTTTTTTTCTTTAGATTTCTATATATTTGGATGCTGCTTCTCAAAAATCCCCCATGATCCGCTGTTATGGCATGACTCAACACCCAACTGAGGGTTATATGTTAGTAATGGAATATGCCGATGGAGGTGATCTGCGTGGTTATATACGTCAACATCATTTACTTTGGTCTGACAGAATTTACATACTTCGGGATATTGCAAGAGCTCTAGATTTCCTTCACTCTCGTGAATTTGTCCACGGTGATTTACATACTGGTAATGTGTTAAAGACTTCTTTGGAAAAAAAGTCTTTTATAAATATATTGGCCAAAAAAAAATTTCGTGAACGTGAAGTAGTTTTAGATTTATCATTAGCCTATATTCCTGATATGTCTACTACTCCATTATACGGTGTGATGCCATATATAGCTCCTGAAGTTTTTAGTAAAGGTTATTTCACAAAAGCATCTGACATTTATAGCTTTGGTTTAATTATGTGGGAACTGGCCGTCGGTCAAACTCCTTTTTCTGAATATCAGCACGATAAAGATTTAGTATCTGATATATGCAATGGTGTTCGTCCAGATATAGATAGAAGTATACCCAAATTTTATGTTGATCTTATGTCAACTTGTTGGGACCCTAATCCTGAAAACCGCCCAAATTCGCGTCTTCTTCGAGAGACCGTTGAAAATTGGGTTTTGTCTTCTGATAAATCTTTGTGTAACAAGCTATCTCCTGAATCTAAAGATGTGGTTAAACAATTGAAGGGTTCTGATACCTTGGCGAAAAAACAATTTAAAAGACTGGCGGAAACGCCAATATTATTATCACCTCCACCTGCTCCTTCGGCTTCTGTATTTACTAGTAAGTCATTAATCCCATTTGTGACTGCCTCAGAAGAGAGTCTCCCTTCTATTCGTAAAGTTTCTAGTGTCGTCTCTTCAACAAGTAATTATTATTCCCATTATATGTGTTTTCTTTATTATTTCTTATTCATAATATTAATAATAATGTAATTATTTTATATTTCAAGGTTCACTGATACGTGTCTCATAAACGGTCTTTTTATGAGTTTATCGTCAAGTTTGTATCATATTACATCCCATACTCATTTTAGATTATCCCCAAGATACTTATTTCGCAAAAAATTTACTTGCGAAAAAATTTTACATAGATACTTATATGCTTAAAAAAGAAATTGGTGTACAAAATGAATTACTACTGCTAATCACACAATATACCATCTTAAACAATTTGATTTTTATCATATCAACTATTTACCATTATTTAACCCGATTTTAATTTATTAAAAGTGTAAATATTGACATATGAATAACATAGCATAGACTATCATTGTATTTTTTTTTCTTAATAAAAAATGTCTATCCGAACGGCTACCGAACGGCCTGGTGCATTATTATAGATTTCTTCTCTCCGTTTACGTGGTCGGTTATTTAACGTTAATTATTTTATCGTATTAGCAGACGCTTAGGTGTACTGAATAGACCCAATACTTATCTATGTTTCATTATTCTTAAAAGGGAATAATGATGTGATAAGTGAGCAAAAGATACTAGGCCTGAAAGTGGTGGTGAAGAAGAAACTATAATGGTCAAAGGTTTAGAAATATATCATATGTAATAGAATTAATTAGTATTATTTGCTTCAAAGTTGCAACTTTGCGTCTTTTATTAAATTATTTGCGACCTCCGCAAGGTCACAAAATCAAATATCACAAACACACAAAGTTTGCTATATGTATGTACATGGGATCGCAAGATCATAAATTACGGGATAAGGGCCCGGAAAGTGAAAATAATTTCAAATACGGGCCCAAATTAAAAATAATTTAGGGCTGTTAAAAGTCTGTTCGGTTCGACTTTGCTTCAAAGCCGAATCACTCAATTAAAAGTCGATCCCAAGTTTGACTCATGCATCAAACGTGATTTGAAATTAATACGATTGGGACTAGTTCTTAACTAGTCCTATCAATATATAGGATAACTTTCTCGTGATTGGTCGTCACATGAAATTGAATAACACGTTATTATTGGCCAATTGTGAAA